AGGAACAGCAGAAGCAGAAAGCAGCGAGGCGGACAACGCGCCAGCTCTGGTGAGGGGGGCAGCGGGACGACGCTGTGTGGACACCCCGGAGGCCGAGACGGCCAAAAACAAAAATCCAGCACAACATCAACGAGGGAAGAGCGAAGACGAGGAGGAGCAGGAACACTGAATGATACAAATAGGGCCCGAGTTCGTATCATAGCGAAGCGGGCGTGGCTGCCCGGACTGTCAAGAACGCAAGTGACTACACAACTAAATGCAACCCGTATGGTTGACCGGCGAGGGCCGGGAGAGCCAGGCAGAGAGAGCAGGAGGCGACCTGAACGGCCGCCGCGGGAAGAAAGAAGCCACCGGCGGGGGGGAGGGAGGCAGGGGGAGGGCGAGGGGCGAGGAGAGGCCAGCGGGGGAGGGTTGCTGCCCCGGACTCGGCTGCAGGAGGAAAAAAGAGGCAATAGCCCCAGGCTCAACTCGTCGGTGGACGCACGTCTGCACCGGATGTCGTTGAAAACTCAGGCCTAGCTGCGGGGGCGCTTGAACGCGCGGCTCACGAGAGCGCGCGACTTCGCGTGGCTCTCCGTCGCCTGCCGCACGTACCCCCGGAAGAGCTCCGAAGCGTCGGACCGCGCCGCCCCATGCCGAACAGAACCGTGGACGCGGTATAAAGCATAGACAGCAATCGCTCGGAGTGCGGTAACCTCGCTGCTGTCCAAGCTGGGGTTGGCCCACGAAGTCGAGGCTGCGACCAGACCGACAAAATCACCTGTGAGATGTTCGGCAGCCGGCCGGGAGAGACCGAGGAATTTGGAGGACAACGCGTGGTAGCACCTGCAACCGCTGTAGTGCTCGATGGGGTCGGGCCCCATGCAACCAAGAACACAAGTAGAGTCCTCTTGGGTCCGCCGCACCAGAACCCAGCCGCCGAAAGCAGTGCGGAAAGTCGCTGCCAATACCTTTGGGGCGACACGTGAAGACAACACGTCAACATGGTGAAAAAATCGTCGAACCCGGTGGCCAGGTAAAACAGGAGAGGTCCAACGATCAAGTCGGTTTCGCACGTGTACCGCCGCAGCATGCTCATGATGTGGGCGAACGATCTTCGTGAACTGCGCCTGCCACCCTGCGCACTCGTGTTCAGGATGCTGAGGGTCTGTGAAGGCCCGGTCCCCTGGAACAAGAGTGTGGAGCTTGTCCAGCGCGGCGCCCAGGGAGAAAACGAAACATCCGTTGAACCACTCCGCGAAGCGCACGCGTCTATCGATGTCGTCGCAGTCCACGATCAGTCTCCGAATGCTGGCTGCCCGGGCACGAACGCGAAGACCTCCGTGACGAGCATTTTCATGAAGGGCGACGCGGGCCCGCGCCGCAACCGCAGCGGACTGTAAGTCCTGGAGCTCCTTGGGGTAGCCCATGTGTCGCAACGATTTCAAGACATCTGGCGTGCACCAGCCAGGGGGGCCAGGGAATAGCCTCCGCAAAGCTTTGACCTCCAGGCTATCGTAGTTCGATGGTAAAGGGTCAAGCTGGGCAGGAAACAACATGACAGACATGATGAACACCCGGAAGGCTTCGATGGTGAGTAGCATGCCCGCGTGCGCCGCCCCCCAGACCGCGGAGCGCTCGAGGAACTTGGCCGTGGCGGAGTCCCAAGTAAGCTCGCCCCTGTCCGGGCCAACAACGAATCCGAGATATTTGGCGTGGAAGGCGATCTTGAATGACCCCCAGAGCGGGACCACGTTGTTCAAACACGTGCGCACATCATCCACAGATACCGGGTAAAGCGGGACGAGGACACACTTCTTCGCGTTCAGAGCCAAGCCTGAAATTCTTTCGAAGTCGGAAAAAGCGGGTTCCAGAAGGAGGACGTCACGCCAAATATTTCTGGAAACCAAAGCCAAATCGTCAGCGTAGCCGCGCAGCGTGCAGTCCGGTAGGAGCCGACTGATCCTCCTCATCAAGACGTCGATGGCGACAACAAAAAGCAAAGGTGATAAAGGGCAACCCTGTCGTACGCCGCGGGTGATCTCGAACCCGCCCCGTCGAGCGCCACCGACAACCGCGTCGCAGTGGTTCTGGCTGTACAGAACGTCGAAGAACTGCAGGAGCCAGGGCGGCCAGTTTATCTCCTCGAAGACAGCGCGCATAAACGGGTGCTCGATGGACGGGAATGCCGCCGCGAAGTCGAAATAAAATGCCCCCCCATTTGTGTCTTTGATGGCTGCTTCGATCATGGAGGTGTCGATGTCGACGAGGTTGGCGAGTAACGAACGGCCATTCAGAAACCCGCGCTGGATGTCAAGGATGCGTCTGCTGATAGCCGGTTCGGTCGCAATACGAATGGCGTTGCAAATTAAACGGTTGTCCGTGTTGGCAACGTTGAGCGGCCGGGTGTTCTCCGGCGCGTAGTACCCCTCACCAGAAGCCGAGGTGCCTGATGGTGATTTCGGCAAGAAGAAAAGCAAGCTGCAATTGAAAGCCTGCCGGTCCTCCTCGGACAGTTCGCGCCCGGCCTCGCTGCACATGTACGTCGCCGCCTCGTGCAAGATGTCTGCCGCAATTTTTGGGCACCGCCGCCAGGCCCCAAACGGGATCCCATCAGGCCCTGGCGCAGAGTTGTTTGATGATTTCAAAGCCTGCTGGACGTGGCGCTTGTGGAGGCGAAGACAATGGAGGTCACGAGGGAAAACCTCAGGAAGTGGTCGGTGGTCGGTGTCTTCGGCAAGCCACTGTTGAAGCAAAGCCTGATTCACCCCCCTGCCCCGGAACACCTTCGACCGGTGCGCCTTGAGCGACTCGGCCATCGCCGCAGGGTCAGCGGTGATCTCCCCATCGCCCTTGAGCACGGCGCTCAAACAGCTCGATCGGCCAGGCAAGAGGCGATAAATCAGCCGGGCATTCTTCTGCCTTGCAGTTTGCGCCTTGAAGCGATCCTCCCCCACCAGGTCCTCGCGCGAACTAGTAAGCTCATGGAGGGCGTGTTCGCGGGCGAGTTTAACCGCGTAGGCGCGAAGCCGGTCCAGTGATCTAGAGGTGTTCGACCCGAAAACGTAAGGGTTCGCCACGTGATCGCGGAGGTCAGGGAGGCGGGTGAGACAGGCGGAAACCTGGTCGGGGCTAGCGCCCTCGATCGCCCGGATCATCTTGAGGGCAACGCCCAAGCGGTCCTCGGCATCCAGAGCAGGCGGAAACGAGGGCATCTCAGCCCCAAGTCGGCGGGCGACCCGTACGATGCACTCTTTGTACAGCGCCAGTTTCTGGAAGGGGTTGATGTTCGGATCGTCCCTGAGCCGTTCCTGAAAATCCAGAACAAGGCGTCGGGGAAAATCTTTGCGAAGGTAGGCTTGAGGCGGTATCGGCCGCTGGCGCTCCTCGTCGTGATCCGGAGCGCGACGGGCAACATGCACAGCTCGGTGGTGTGAAAGATCGTGACGCCACTCCAATGCTGTCGAGTGCACTCTGCGGTCGAGCTGTTCAGCGACATGGTAGTTGAAGTACACGCGGTCAAGCCTGGATCGCGCCGACGCGGAAGAATGCGTAAATGATCCCTGGAACAGCTCGAACAAACCGTGCCGGGCACCCAAAACCGATTGAAAGTGGGCTTCCTCTCGGGCGTCGCGACGGCCAGAAGGGCTGGCGGAATTCAGAGAAACGCGGTCCCCATCGGCAGTGACATAGTTGAAATCCCCGCCAAAAGCTGCAAGCCCGTCCATCTTGTTCATCACGTTGTTCGCGATCAGCTGGCGCAAATGATTCCGGAGGGTTGGGAAGGTCGCGCACTCGGCACGGTGCTGCAAGGGTACACCCTGTAGGTCGAGGTCGTTGGGGCAGCTGTGCGAGCCTGACGGGAAGTACGCAACGATGAGGTCCAGAGAACCAGCAGATCCCCGGAGACAAAGCTTCGCGGCACGCCCGCGCCAGATATGAACCAACGTCGGCACAAGCTCGAAGTTTTTCAGGAAAGCGTCCCGAATAACGAAGCCCACCCCAGAGTGACCACATACTGGACCTTGCGACCACCAAGCAGAAGTACCTGGAGGAGGTCTCCAGGTGCCATTCGCAACTTCCGATCCGTGCGTCTCCGTGATGAGCAGGACATCGGTGCGCTTCATGAGTTGGTGCACGTAAGCGGCTTTCGCAGCGTGTCGGATGGGGTCTGTGGCGAAAAGGGCTTGCGAATTCCAAGTGGTGACCGATATATCGCCTTGAAATTGGCCTCGGCGAGCGACGGCCGCCGGGGCCGCCGCGGAGCTCTGACCCGCGGGGGGGTCATGCATCACATCCCGTAGCCAGGGAAGAGGAGTATTGGAGGTATCATGGCCCGGGGCTCGGTGAAGGTGCCGACGGAGGCAGAGTTGAAGTGGAAGGTCAGAGTAGTCCCCATGGGCTGGGGCAGTCGCCAGCGCGAAGTGCATAGCGAGGTGCAGCCGAGGGATGGAAGGGCGAAGCCGGGAAGCACTGGGGGAAGATGAACAGGACAACGAAGGAGAAGGCGAATAATGAGAAACCTGCATGTGTCCGGGAAGATCGCGGTCAAGACTGATCGGCACGAAAAGCTCCGTGTGGATCCGAAAGACGACGAAGATCGCGTACACGTAGGTCCCCTCATAGGTCATGCACTGAATTCCCAATGATGCGTCCGAATGGTGCGCTGTAGGATCGCGAGCGGGGGCGGCACCTACTGCCCCGCTCGCGGGTCGTTTCCCTGCTGGATTTGCAGCTCAACCAAGTCGTTCTTCACCTCCACCACGACGTGGTCCGTGCCCACCAGGATGGATTGCCCATGTAGCGCAGCATATAGCCGGCGGATGTCGCCATGGGTCTGCGCCAAGACCTTCAGGGCCCCAGCCGGCGTGCGAGGAGGGCAAGCGGGCATGTGGTAGTACTCGCCAGCCTTCGGCCGGGCTGGATCCGCGGCCTTGGTGAAAGAAAGGCCCACGCTGTCACAGGCGTGCTTCATGAGTGAGTCCAAAACGACGTCCTCCGCTTTGCCCAGGTCGCCGCGCGGCGCGATCTCGGCCACGAGGTCCCCAGGTCCGCACTTCTTCCCGCTGCGTCGCCTGTTCGTCGTCAACTGTGTTGTAGTGGCCGCTGGCGTGGCGAGAGTCCGGCCGCCGTGATGGGAGGGGCGGCAGCGGAGACGGGTGGCGCCGCTGATGGTGTTGTCCGAGAAAACCTGCTGCATCACCTCCGTCCACGTGTCCATCAGGGCCTCCGTGTACACGAGGAAGCGAGAGGGGCCAATTGTAAGCATCTGTGTACAGAGGGGCCAAAAGTGCCGAAAGAGACGAGAGTCACCGCACTCGAGCAGCAGAGCGTCCGAGGCACCTGCAAGGTGCTTGTATCCGAAGAACGTGTCGTGAGGGAGGTGATGACGACGCAGATGCTTCAAGATCGCAAAGCACTCAAGTTCAGACAAACGTGCATCCATAACCACCTCAACCGCAACGCGGGGGGCATCAGGGGTACTGGTCAGGCTCTTCCGGTGTGTCCTATAAGAGAGGCCCTCCAGAATGTCCAGCCGCGCCAGTTTGAGGAAGTCCGTAAGGAGGTCGAGCCGCATGTCGACCACGATGGTCTTAACCTCATCCACGTGCATGAGCGCGTCGACATGGATAACCTTCGGGATGCTGATGGGGCCCGCCTGCATGAGAGAAAAGATACCCAATCCACTTCGAAAATGCCGTGGCGTACCGCTGCTCGTGGACGACACCATCTCGAACGGGAATGGGATGTAGGTAGTAGCTCGAACTATGGGGCTCCACCTTTCCGAAAGAAGCGGGGACGACCAGAGATCCGTGATGCTGCTGACCGTGTTGGACCCTGCCGTATTCGGGATGGCGGTGACAAAGATGACCGACGAAGGATAGATACCTGACATGGCCCGGCGAAGGAAACCCGCGAGGCATCGCGTAAGCGCATTATCGTCCGCGGGGGCCCAGATCACGATGTTTCTGTCGCGCGCCAAATCGAGCCATTTATCGTCGCCTTTCTCTGTCAACTCGGCCAGAACGCGTGCCTCCGCCACCGGAGCGAGGCGGGGATGGTGGACTTTCAAGACGTTCGACCACTGTGTGAGCACGACGGCGTCCTCCGGAATGAGACCCAGGAGTTTGTGCAAGGTGTCTAGGCCGATCTCCTGGTAGGGTTCCAGACGGGAAAGCTTCAACTTACGGCGAGCACGAAGGAAGAGCTGGAAGATCGCCCTCGCATCGATCAGCGATCGAACAAAGCTTGTCCAATAAAATCCTAGCCTTCGCCTTGTCTTCATCAGAAAAATACAGGTCCTGGGGGAGCTGCAACAAGAGACGCGCTGCCCGAATACGCGCGGCGATGCCGGCCTCCGAAGGAGTGGGGCCTTCGAGACGGGCCATGCCGATGGCGGCCCACGGGTCCTCGCAGTCCAGGGCGTAGCCGAGCTTGGTCAGGAGTTCCCTCAGCTTCTCGAAGGTGTCAGGGAGCTGGACTGGCATGTCAGCATGGGGCAACTCGGTCACGGTGGAGGCGTGGACGAGCGGGAAGTGCTGAAGAACTTCCCCCTCAAACCATTCACGTAGAAGATCAGAGCGAAGGGAACCGAACCGAGCAGCGGGTCCATCTCCGGCGGCAGCAGGGGCCCTTTCGACCTCCATGGACGCCATGGCGTGCGCTGCGGCCAGGGGTGCGCCCGCGTGGTCCATGATGAGGCCGTCCATCTGCATGTTGTGCAGCGCCTGCGACAAGCCGGAGGTCCCCTCCGCGTCGGCGCCGGCGGCAGGGGCGCCAGGCGCCAGCCCTGGTGGGGCGGCCGGAGGGGCTGCGGTCGCCTCGATCGCCTGCGCCAGCCGGAGCACTGTCCCGTCCGCCGGCGCGGCGCCGACGGCGCCGGTGGGCGCAGCGACACCGGTGGTAGCCGCAGCGTGCCCTGCGCACAAGGCGGCGCCAGGCAGCGCCGGGGCGTCGACGCCTCCTGCGAGGCACATGATGCAGCGCCCGGCCATTGCAGCGGCTGGGAGGGGATGCGATTGGAGTAGCTCGCGCTTGCTTGGGGGCCTTGGCGCCCTTGAGCCAGCATCGTCGTCACTTTCATCAGCGTCATCACGATCGGCATCATCACCAACATCATCAACGCCGCCATCAGAATCATCATATTATTCGTCACCGTCATCACCGCCATCATCATCATTATGGTTAGCATCACCACCGTGATCACCATACCAATCACAATCGGCATCATCAACTTCATCACCATCAGCAGCGAACGCGTCACCATCGTCATCACCACCATGTCATTAGCATAATCATCATCATCACCATCATCACCGTCGTCACCATCATAAGCGTCATCTTCAACATCGCTGTCTGAATATTTAATTATTTCGCGCTGCCGCTGTTTCTACTGGACGCGTGACAAATATTGTGCAGTTCCTGCTGCGACACTGCGCTGAGTTCATAGCGACCCTGGGGGCCTTTGCCTGGGATGAGGGAAGCGCCTGCGCTTAATAAGCCGCGCAGAAAAGATTGAATCAACATGCGGGCACAGAGGAGGAAGAGGAGGAGGAGGAGGAGGTAGAGGAAAATAGACAGAAATATACAAACATGCTTTCAAACATCTATGGCGAAATAGTTGCTTCCGCTTCAAACGCAGAAAGGATGCCCGTGACCACCTCCCCCATCAGCGCGAGCCCCTCGTAGTGGACCTCGTGCCCTTCAACGCCCCGAGCCCCATAGGTGACGTAGCCGATCGCCGCCAGCCGGTGCCTATCAGAAGGCAGACCTCGAAGTCCTCCATCTACGTAGATCTTGATAACCCGCTGGGGAATGCGCTTCCGCAGTGCATCTTGGCTCGCCCAATGGTGATTTTGATGCGTGCCCATCGCCGCGTTCACGAGGTAATCGGGCACGGTGTTCATGTCCCTGGAGGCCCAGTTCACGTAGGAATCGATGTCCCGTCTTCCACTCCATCCGGCGCGCTCCAAAAAGAACAACCTGGCGCAAATCCTCCTGAATACCAGTTCCAACTCTGGCGCTCGCAACACCGACTTCCCGTTGACGACGTCGGCGACCCCCAAGCAGTCGACCTGAATCCCGAGGCGCCTGTTCCACGAGTCCCACTTGAGGTCCATGGGGTGGCGAGGCAAATGCGGTTGGACTCGAGGGCGAGGTCCGGCAGGACCGCAGGGGGGACAGGTAGACCTGGGTTCCACATCTTCAAGTGGAGGGGCAATTGCATAATTGCATAATCATCATCAGCATCAGCACCATCAGACTTATCAGTATCACCAGAATCATCAGTATGATCATCGTCATCATCATCATTATCACGATCACAATCGTCACAATAAACATCATCACCATCATCATCACCATCATCATCATCATCATCATCATCATGATCAGCATCATCATCAGCATCAGCTTCATCATCATCACCATCATCAGCATCAGCAGCAACATCACCATCACCATCACCATCACCATCATCATAATCGCCATCAGGATCATAAGCATCATCAGCATCATCATACTTATCAGTATCACCAGTGTCATCGTCATCACGATCACAATCACAATCCCCATCATCATGATCAGCATAATCATTATCAGCATCAGCATCATCATCACCACGACCATCATCACCATCATCATCATCAACACCATCATCATTAGCATCATCATTACCATCATCACAACCATCATCATCAGCATCATCGCCAACATCATCAGTATCATCGTCATCACCATCACCAGCACCATCAGCATCAACATCATCATCATCAGCAACATCAACACCATCACCCCCACCATCATCATCACCACAACCATCATCGTCAGCATCAGCAGCATCATCAATATCATCACCGTCATCAGCATCATCAGCATCATCAGTATACTCATCATCAACCTCATCATCATGATCAGCATGATCATCATGATTATAATAACCATCATGATCATCATGATCAGCATCACCATCAGCAGCAGCATCATCACCATCACCATCACCATCATCACCATCACCATCACCATCACACCACCATCACCATCATCATCATCCTCACCATCGACATCAGCATCAGCATCAGCATCAGCATCATTATCGTCATCATCATCTTCATCATCATCATCATCATCATCATCATCATCATCATCATCATCATCTTGACGATCACCATCACCATCACCATCACCATCACCATCACCATCAGTATCACCATCACCATCCTCATGAGCGTCATCCTCCTCCCTCCTTCCCCTTCCGCCTGCCCCCAGTTCCCCCACATCTTCCTCCTTCTCCTCCGCCTCCTCCTCCTCTCCCTCCTCCTCCTCGTCCTCCTCCTCCACCTCCTCCTCCCCCTCCTCCTCCTCCTCCTCCTCCTCCTCCTCCTCCTCCTCCTCCCCCTCCTCCTCCTCCGCCTCCTCCTCCTCCTGCTCCTCATCCTCCTCCTCCTCCTCCTCCTCCCCTCTCCTCCTCCTCCTCGTCGTCCTCCTCCTCCTCTTCCTCCTCTTCCTCCTCTTCCTCCTCTTCCTCCTCCTCCTCCACCTCCTCCTCCTCCTCCCTCGCCTGCGCTCCCCTCGCCTTCCCTCTCTCCCTCCTTCCTACCCTCCCGCCACACGCTGGCCACCGCCTCGTCCGCTGCCGCCCGCCCCCCCCCTCTTGCAGCGGCTTCGGCCGTCCCAGCGTGGTCGACGCGCGACCCACGCTGTCCAGAGGAGGAGGGCGAAGGAGGAGGCGGAGGAGGAGGAGGAGGAGGAGGGCGACGAGGAGGAGGAGGAGGAGGAGGAGGAGGAGGAGGACGAGCAGGAGGAGGCGGAGGAGGAGGAGGAGGAGGAGGGCGAGGAGGAAGAGGAGGAGGAGGAGGAGGAGGAGGGGAGGAGGAGGAGGAGGAGGAGGAGGAAGAGGATAGGAGGATAGGATAGCAACATGACGGTGTCAATGAAACAAAAGGATCGGGCCACCCCTGAGCTTGCCGTAGAAGTAGGCGAACCAGAAAGCGACCACCACGACCCAGTACCTGGACGGCATGAGCAGGAAGTTCGAGGAACAATAAGGATACCTCGCACGAGTACCTCACTCCAGAAACGTGTGCTGCCGAAATTTCACTCCTGCCAACCAGCCACCCATATACTGAGCAACAAGCGCCGAAAAACGGGACGAAAATCACACCTCGAGCATTCATGGGGCACGTGGGGCCCGTACAGATTAGCAGCAAGCTCACCCCAACCGACCAGTTGATAGTAGGAAAGAAATGCCAAGCCGTCGATGCTGAGCATTCCAGCCGAAGAAATGAAACACCCCACGAACGCCAAGACACTATGCGAGCCGTTCTGCGAAGGAAAACGAGCCTTGACCCAAGCACACACTCAGCGGGTCCATTGCGGCACTGCAGGAGAGGGAGCGCCGACGGACCGCTGCTATTGAGCCTTGCTCCATTACGGGTAGCTGCCACTGCCCGCAATGCCTGAATTCTCGCACCTGCTGATCACGGCGCTGTAGCTGATAACGGTCGGGCTAACATCGCCTCCCACATCGAGCCACGCTCCGACAGGATTAGCTGCCACTGCTCGCCGTTCTCGCACGTGCTTGACCCAAGATCGAGACTCAGCTGGTCCATTACGGCACTGCAGGGGAGGATGCGCCGACGGACCGCTCGCACTGAGCCTCGCACCGGTACTGGTAGCTACCACTGCCCGCCGCTGCCTGCTTTCTCGTACCACGTCTGCACGATAACGTGCGCCGTGGTTTTTCGAGGATGCCGCAGCAGCGCCTCGGGGCCACCACCTTCCGTGTGGGTTTTCGAGGATGCCAATGGCAGCGCCTCGGGGCCTCCACCTTCCCTCTCCTCTGTCCGTGCTGCTCCCTGGTGCTGAAACCCAGCGGGTCCATTGCGGCAGCGCAGGAGAAGATGCGCCGACGGACCACTCTTGCTGAGCCAGCACTGTCACTGATAACTGCCACTGCCCGCCACTGCCTGCCTTCTCGCACGTGCTGATCCCGACGATGTAGCTGATAACGGCCGGCCTAGCCTTGCCTCCCACCCCAAGCCACTCACCGACTGAAACAGTTCTTGCACGCCGTTCCCGCACCTGCCAGGCCACGCATTGGCACGGAAGCCGCAGAATCAACTTTGCGAACAGGTTAAAATACGAACTGGTATACTGCAGCCACTGCCCTTTGCCACCGCTGGCCCATGACAACAATGAAAATAATAACATGCCGAGGGGCCGCGTCTTAGTCTCCCATGCCTGCCTGTTGCCACCAAACGTTCTTCTCGCACGCACTGATCCGAGCATTGTAGCTGATGAAGTTGGCTCCGCGCCTACCCATCTAACTTTGCAACGAAAACCCGTTGCCTCTGATTGCTCGCCTCTCACGTGCTGGCGAAACCGTTGTAGCTGATGACGGTCGGTGCACACTTCAGCTCTCGCATGCCGTTCAACTGCCACTGAGCACACGAACCCTGCACGCCAAACACGCATGCGCCGAGTCCAGTACTGTAGGAGAGGATGGCAGGATTCGACGCTCGAAGAAAGTGTACCAACCACAGGATGTAGCACCAAGAAGAACAAAGTGGTAAGCATTCAGAAAAACCTGGCTGAAGGGCTCCAGGCCCGGAGGTCTGAATACCCCTGGATGGCTGCCTGCTCGAAACTTTCGTCCCACTTCGTCGCCCAGAAAAACGGCACACGCGGTGCTGCAGCCTAGGCGTCCCTCAAGCGCCAACGTGGAGTCGTGGGACGTGACGTCGAAGCTGCCCGAAGCCAAAAGGGTACGGAGAAGCCTCGAGCCACATGTGCTTGAGAGGAGGAGGAGGAGGAGGAGGAGGAGGCGGAGGAGGAGGGGGAGGAGGAGGAGGAGGAGGAGGGAGGAGAGGAGGAGGAGGAGGAGGAGGAGGAGGAGGAGGAGGAGGAGGAGGAGGGCGCCCCCCCTCCTCCACTTCCCCCTCCCCGCACCTGCCCCTGGCGGCCTCGGCTTCACTGGGGCCCGCGGCGTGGCCAACTCCCGCGCTTCTGGCACGGGCCAGCGGAATGGCTCCGGCGCAGCTCGCGCCCAACGCAGCGAGGAGCACTGCTCGGAGGTAGCAGGAGCAGGCGCAGGGGCAGGAGGAGGAAGAGGAGATGAAAGAGGAGGAGGAGGAGAAGGCGGGGAGGAGGCGGAGGAGGCGGAGGAGGAGGGAGGAGAAGGGAGGAGGAGGAGGAGGAGGAGGAGGAGGAGGAGCAGGAGGAGGAGGAGAAGGGAACGATGGAGAACGAGGGGGAGGACGAGGGGGAGAAAAGGAAGAGTGGAAAGGCCATGATCTTCTCTCCTGGCAACGCCGTGTTTATTTACAGGCTCCGCTTACTTCCGAGCCTTTTTTTTGAAGGGCAACTGCTTGGGCAGAGGACCTCCGCCTTGGGGCTGCCCCCTGGCAGCCCTCCTGAACTACGTCTTCCCGTAGACTCCAACCACGCGGATGCAAGGCTTTCCGAGATGACGGACAGCCAGGGTGGTAAGGCAATCACAGCTGAAGCACACAGTGCTCCCGCACCTCTCGCTGTATCCGAAGGTGCGCGGCTCATGCAAGATATGCCCGTTGATCGCAAGCGCACGCGGGATCATCACGATCCCGTTCAACAAGCCCTGGTGGCAATGGGTCCAGAGGAACTCATCAGCCACGGGCCTGGGCGCTGATCCCCCCCACAGACTCTGCAGCAGAGTTTTGAGCCCACACCAGACTCTGGGGTATGGGCGGTCATGACTCAACTTAGTCGCCTCACGCTGCCTAGGAACTCAACCCCCGTCAGCCTCGATGCTGGCCAACAGAGTGTGCCCCAAGTGGTGACGGATTCGGTTGAAGGGGAACTGGGACACACAAATAAATACACACAAATAAACATATCCCCAATATTTTCCAATATTTTCTGGGTTTTTGTCTTCCCCCCCACTTCCCATATTTTCCCATATTTTCTGGGAATCGCCGATTAATTGTGTCTGTGTGTTTCTTCCCCTCCTGATCGGTACGCTGTGGCCTGGGCGAACGATCTACTGTCACGGTCCTGCTTCGGGGCTCTGAGTTGCTCCGCCCACCAACTGGCCACGCTGTCGGCAACTTAGCTGATAAGAATTCAAAGGGTCCCCTCCCGCAGCAGAGACAGACTGTATACCACTGTGGCTCTCAACCTTAACCAGCACGATACCTCGGGTTGGGTACGCTGCGAGGTGGTCCCTCAACTCATGCCAGACATATATGTGCGACTCTGGGCCCAATCCTCGCTGCACCTTGGCGAAGTCATTCATGGCACATGACGAGTCTGCGACGAAAGAGGCGCACGAAACAGGGAAGACAGCTTCAGCAAACACGAGCAAACCGAGCACCCTATTGACGCCCCCCCCCAGGATGAGAAGGAGTGGGGCCACGACAGAAGCCGCGCTCGCCACCCCGCGGGCTGGTGCGCGCAGAGTTGCTGAGCCAGCGGGCGAGATGTGCAGCTGCAGTGGGGGGGCGGGCGAGGGACGGGGGGTGGGGGGGCGATGCAAGGGGGGTGCGCGAGGGCCGCGCGCCGGCCCGCGCGCCGGCCCGCGCGCCGCCCCGCGCGCCGCCCCCGCGCGCCGCCCCCGCGCGGCGAGGGCCGCGCGCCGCCCGCGCGCGTGCCGCGCGCCGCCCCGCGCAGCTGCGGCTCACGCCGCCCGCCCCGCGCCGCTGGAGCCGCGCGCCGCCCCGGCCGCGCGCGGCCGCGCGCGGCCCCGCGCTCGCCGCGGGGCCCCGCCGCGGCCCTCCCGGGCGCAGGCCGCCACGCGGCACGCGCGGCGCCCCGCTCGCGGAGGGCCCGCGGGGGGCCCGCGGGCGCGGCCCGAGCCGGGGCTCGCGCTGGGCGGCCCGCGGCCCGCAGAGGTCCCCCGCTGCGGCGGGTGCCGCGTGGCGCCCCGGCTGCAGCGGTCGGCCCTGCGCGCGTGGCGCGCCGCACGGCAGGCTCGTGCCGTGTCGACGCCGGCGTTGGTTTCTGACACCGCTCGGGCGTTGTAGAGGAAAAAGAACTGGCCAGGCCCATCCTGAGCCCAGGATCGGTGCATACGCCCTCCTACCTTGGCCAGGAAGGCATATGCACCGATCCTGGGTCAAAGATGGGCCTTGCCAGGATCGGTGCATGTGCATAGTTCTCTTCGCCCGACGTTGGTCATCCAGAAAATGCCGCTCGCCCTGCACTCTGAGAGCACCGACCCCCTGAGCACTCCCTCTCGTGTCGAGAGAGAGTGCTATGCCCTGGGCGAGAGGCGCGCATAGCGGCCGCGGCGAGAGACCACCCCCTGCGCACCCCATGTGGTGTCGAGAAAGTGCCAAGCCTGCTGTGCCTGGACCAAGCGGTGCCGCTGGGTGTACTGGGGGACGCCCCCCCGCGCCGTTCCACTAACCGGAACTGCCGTCACCCGAAAGAACACCAGCTAGGGCAGACCTGGCTTGGTGACTCTGGCCAACTCAGGGACTCCAGGACCCTGCTACTAACCGGGTGCCCTTACCTGGGGTCCTGGCTATACCCGAACCGCGGGGATCGTTCGGTCTTGGACCGTCGGTCGTTTCTGACATGTCAAGTCGTTCAGCATGGACCGATTTTCTGGGCCGCCGGCGGCGCTCTGCACTGAGCGCCGCCGGCGGGGTCGCAGCTGCTCGACGCGGAGCGAGCTCACCGTGGCCGCAGCTGGTGCCCTGCGGCTGGTGCTGAGGAGCTCGCCAGTCAGCCCGCTGCCCGCTGGACCTGGACGCAGAGGGGCATGCCGCTGCGCTGCGCCCCCCTGGACAGGCGCACGGCCGAAAGGAACACACATGGCACGCGCATGGTACAGTCTATCTCGCTGTCCAGGCGGCATGGCCAGCAAGCGCCCGCCCCCGAACGTATACTGAGATCTGGCCGTCGCTCGGACGTCCATTCCCTGTGTTTTTTTTCGGTTTCGTGCGTAGCTTCTTCGCCACATGATCGAGGCTGCTCCTCGATGATCCTCGCCGAGGGAAAGATGCACACGTCCGAGCGATGCCAAGAGATGTGTATGAG